GTGGCATTTATGTAAATTTCCCTTTTTTTATAAATAACATGTATATAATTTCCTCTAAATTGCATTAAAACATCTTAAAGGAATTTAATATTATCTTTTAATGCCTAAAATCAAGCATGTTTAATCTCTCCAAATATATATTTTTTTCTATCAATGGCCATACTATTCTATAAATAGGAGAGACTCTGGCCATGCATGTGAGCATTTGTGTGCATGTGCATTGGTGCAATGGCAGCTAGAACCATTTGGAATGATTTGCTTATGTAGAAATTTGCCTTTTCTTTTGGTTGGGATTAATCAAGGAAATCTTCGGGATAACTTTAGACCACTGATTTTTTCTACTTTCAAGAATTTTTTTTACAAGAAAGCGGTTTTACAAAACAGCAAAAAAAAATTGCCCCAAACAAAACCTAAATAAATTAGCTGCGGCTAAAGAAGCGTGCTTAGAGTTTGTAAGTATAGAAGCTGGTTGATTTGTAGTTATTTTAATAATAAAGAGGTGAAAATTGAAGAAATTTTCTTTTCAATAATCATGGAGAATTATCTCCATGAATCCAAAAGTATGATTGCTTCAGATATTATGTGTTGATTCTATAGATATTTGAGGTGTTCTAGTGAGGAATATTTGAAGTGTGATTTTTTTTTTTTATATTAGTGAATATTTATTGTTTATTAGTTTCCGTGTGTTAGGCTTCGTTTGGGAAGGCTTTTTTACTGCTTCTTAAAGCGGGTTTTAAGAAGTAGTAAAAAAGTTGTCCCATACGAAATCTAAGTCACTTTTTTTATTTGGCTTGAGAGAATTGTGGCTTCGTTTTGTGTTGATATTTGATATATTTTAATTCGGGGAAGAATATTTTGTTATGTTTCTTTTCTTTTGTATATTTATGTTGCTCCTCTAATGTGGATAGGATCATCCGGATCTTCTTTTTGATACTCGATCTCTTTTATTATTAACTTTTGCATCATATTTGCATATAAAGTGTGATGAGGGATAAGATGATAAGAATAATAAGATTGAGAGCTTTTATTTTTGAAGGAGTTTTGGCTTTAGAAAAATCAAGAAGTGTGATGTTCTGATTTTGAAAGGACTCTTGAGGATATTCGTGAGGCATTCAAATATTATAGAGAGAGAAAAACCTAAAGGATTTTTAGAATTTTATTTTAAAATTTTTAAACCTAAGATTAAAGTTCTATAAATTTCTAAAACCCTTGAAATTCTTAATAACCTTAAAATGAAGTATCCAACTTGTATTGCTCAATAGAATACCCTTTAAGCACGGTGATAATCGATTAGCTGGAGTTGGAACCATGAAGTTTGGAGTATAAAATGAGAAGATAAATTTTACTTAATTCGAGATTATATACGAAGGATCTAGGGTTTGATTGTTGCTCAATTAAATCCGAGTCACATATCTCTTTAAATAACAAATGAAATGCGGTTATTTCTTCCCCTACCTCCAATACTCAGTACTTCACAGTACGGAGCTCAATACTGCTCAGTACTGTGAATACTGAACGTAAGCTATGTCCGATGACCAGACCCAATAATTTCCCCTAAAGTAGAGCCTTTTTTTTTCTCCTCCATTGATCTCTTGGGATCCTTAAACAAATTCTAGTGATATAGGGGTGGTCATTATTGATTGTGGAATCAAGACAAAGATATTGGTATTAAAATCAAGAAAATGGTAGCCTATGCATTGAAAAATGATTAAACATATAAAAATGCTTGTTGGGAGGCTTTGATCTACCTCCCTTTGTATGGATGTCTCGATCGATGTTCATTATAGGTTTATTAGAGCTCATCAATCCCATGCTCAAAGGGATAAGGGAAAGAAAAGAAAAGTTGGGGAGCTCTTTAGAAGTGCTATTGAGTTTTCGATGTTTTTGATTGGGTCTTTATAAAAATATGTGAAGGTTGACATCTCTAACCCTTAACATTTCATTACTTATGTGAAGTCCCATAATTTAATTTAGAAAAATGATTCTTTTAACTTTTTAATAAACAACAATCAGAACTATTTAATTTCATCTATAAAAATAAATATCAACAGAAACAACCACTGGTTGAAAGATTAATATTCACATTCATTTTAAATATATTATAATAAATAAAGCATAATTGAGCTTAATTCAGAAAATATCAAAATATCATATCGGTAGACAACAACTATTGGTCCAAACATCAATATTCACATTCATTTCCAATATATTACAACAAATAAAGCATAATTGAACTTAATTCAGAAAATGTCAAAATATTCTATCGATAGACAACAAAAATTATACTGAGGAAAAATTCACATTTTCAGGATTTAATTCATATATTAAACAAAACAATATCCTAAAGCTTTAGTTAAACTAATTAAATCATTATTTTTAGAAGTCAAAATAAATTTTTAAGTTGACAAAAATCACTATATTTTTATAATGACTGACGAAAAATCTCAAATAAATATTAAAAATATTCATAATCTCAATTTGTATTGCATATAAAAGTTACGCGGTGAAACTTTTACCAATACAAAATTATCCTCATTTTTCATGACGAAAATACAAATTTGATCGGAAAAATATCAAAAATACAAAATTATTGAAATGAAAAATGGGGGAATATATTTTTTACTGCGAGACAAGTAAATCTCCTAGCTGGGCCGACTGTCGAAAATCTCTCTACAACCTTCAAATTCTAACTTTTCTTTTCTCTTTTTTCTTTCTCTATGAAAATTTCTAATTTATTAACTATCAAATGAAGTGATAAAAAAAGATTTTAATGGATTCTCTTAAGAGATTTAAGATATTTATAATAAAATATTAATATAATAATATAATTTAATTAATTTTAAGTATAAAGTTCATAGAAATCTTTTTGGGACTTCAAAAATTATAAAAAATATCCATAACGTAAATTATTTTATTTAGAAAATAGTAATGAAATTAGTTTGCAAAACACGCCTAACGATGCCAAAATTCTCACATGTACAGACATGTGTCTGAAGATCTTTCTGTCGAGTTCAGCTTTTTGTTTTGTAGCCTTAGGTAGGCTTTCTTTTGTAGCCTGTATGGCTAGTGTGGATGTTTCTTTTGGACTCTTTTGGTCTGTTCTCTGATTGTACTATATGTGAATTATTGTATCTGCTGCTGTTTCTTTTCTGTAATGTAATTATCTCTGGCTCTGGATGTATGTATTAATACGAACAACGGATAAAGAAACTGAAAAGAAAAAAAAAAAGAAATGAACGATCGATCAGAGGAATCTTTTCGCTACACGGATCTTGGGTCGTTATAGTAAATCACCATAATATCTATCTTATGGCGTAGACGATTTACAAATTTGAGTTATAATGACTGTTGAAATTTTTTTTTTTTTTGACTGGATTATTACATCTTCTCCCTCTTGTTGAGATTGATCAGGGGGCAAATAGTAGTAAGCTAGGTTGGCTTGGGGCTCTAACTCAAGTTTGGGCGAAAACAAAAGCAATCTCACAATCGTTACCAAAGAATTTTGGCATTCATTAACATTGATATTTAATTTGATAAGCTATAGTTGGCTTACTAGGATAGCTACTGGTTCAAGGGTTGCATCAGTACTGGGTCCAAAGAAGAAGTTAAGTAACCACCCATGGGCTCAATTCAAAGCCCCAATCAAGTAGGCTCAATTGGATCTAGTTGGGCATGACTTCGTTTAAGTGTGACTTAGCCATACTTGGCCTAAGCGAGGCAAAATGCAGCCATGGTCACTAATTAACTTAAATTTGGGATTCTCTGTGTCATTGGAACCCTATTGGTTTACATAGTTCAACTTGGGTTCATTTGAGATAAGTGAATCAATTGACCAAAGTGAGGTTAGATCATACTCTTATGTCTAATAGTGCTCATCCAAGGGGATTTAGGAATTTGGGTTTAGCTAGTGCAAATGCACCTAATTAAACCAATTAGATTAACTGGGTCTAATTTTGTGTTCAATTGGGCACAATGCATCAAGTAATTAAATTGAAGTTCAATGTAAGCTCCAATGACAAAAAATGATCAATGCTAAGATAATTTAGGTGGAAATTCGGCTCAATTAGTCCAGTTACACCAAAATGGGTCAAGTAGGTTTATTAAGCTAGTTTAGGTTAACTTAAGAAAATAGTTTATGAATAATGCTAATTAGTGGGAGTTTGATCCTGTTTAGACAATTAGGATGTTCTTGGTCAACTAAGTTGAGTGATATGGATCATTAATGACCTAAGGTGATTAAGTCTTCAAATTGGGTCACTTAGGGTTTATATTGCCTAAGCTTGGCTTTATCTTTGTCTTATATGCCTCTTTTAGGCTTGGGATTCTAATTTGATCTACTTATAGGTTAAGGGTTATGCTTGGGTTAACATTGCACTATGTTAATCAAGTTTGAGAGATATCAAGGTTAATTAGGCTAAGTAGAGTTGGGCATGCAGGTTTTAAGGAGATTCCAAGGTCCTAATGAGTCCTCCCTTGGGCCAATAGTACAAAACATTAGATAGGTTAACCTAGTTTGACGAAGATCGGTCACATTGACTTGGGGTAATTATAAAATTGACTTGGCTAAATCACCCAAGTTCCTCTTGGGCCTCTATAAATCCATTAGGTCAATGAGATGGGTTATATTAAAATGGGTCATGCTTCAGGATTTTATGATAGTTGGGGTCAAATAACTAATGAGGTTTATCTTAATAACATTAATATGTCATAAAATGATTTAAATAAGTTCTTGAAGCAGTAAAAAAAATTGTCCCAAATAAAATCTTAGCTGATATTACTGAGTCAGCTTAATCTGACACGTGCCCAATTCAATTAAAAATAAATCTGAGCCCTTTGGTTTTTTGACCCGTCCTATTTGAGCTATTTTCCAATCCAACGGTAGAGAGTCACTCTGAGCCCTAAACTTAAAGACACGGTTGAGATCGGCTCAATGGATCAAACGGCCTCCATCTTTCCCACCAAGGGTTTATTCAGCATTGGCTTCGTCCTCGCAAAAAGCCCGAAACTCAGCCGAGATGACGGCGGTTTGAGAGCTGCCGTGGCTCCGGCGATCCCATCGTAAACGATTTAATTCCTACGCTAGCAAGATGCCTAAGTCAAAGCGCAACCGTCCCGGTGAGTTCTCATGGAAACCTTCCATTTTTTCCCTATCAAATCTTGCTTAAACCCCGGAAACCCCGAAATAATCCACGACTGCGTTAAATGAATGCAGTGACTCTTTCAAAAACCAAGAAGAAGGGGAGAGAACACAAGGAAGTCATCGTGAATTCCATAAGACAAGCTCTGGAAGGTTATAGCTCCGCTTACGTCTTCAGCTTTGAGAATATGAGGAATCAGAAGTTGAAGGAGCTCAGGGAACAGCTCAAGCCAAGCAGCAGGTTCAAATTAAAATTATTTTTCTCTGTTAATTGTGTTGGAACCGATTACATAATGGCAGCTGAATGCCATGCTTTGGCAGATTTTTTCTTGGATCCAACAAAGTCATGCAAGTTTCTTTGGGCCGCTCTGCAGCTGATGAGGTTAAGCCTGGCATTCACAAGCTTGCCAAGGTGTAGAACAATCCTGTCCTTCTGCCAATATTTTTCTCTATTGATAATCGACTTATCTTTTACTGTTTTCAACAGTTCCTCCATGGTGATTCTGGACTGTTTTTTACTAAGCTTCCAAAGGAGGAGGTTGAGAGGTATTGCTTTGGTGCTTGATGATGCCTTATACATTCAGGTTTTAGTATATATCTAGGGATGCTTATTGTTGTTTTTTAAAGTTATTACTGTAAAACTTGCTCAATTTTAAGTTCTACGCCCTTCTCAGGAAATTTACCTAACTGTATTTTGCTACCAGAACTTACAAGTACTATGATAATTTAAATGCTGTTAGTGGGTATCTCATTGTTTGCTTTTTGATTTATCGTAATAAGTGAATCATTCAATAGAGATCTTGCTATTTCTATTTCTACCAAATCCTATCTTTCTTTGCAATGTGGGCAAGAGAAAAACCTTGATTTTGATGTTCAAAGGTCTAGGAAAAAGTCCGAATTTATCTGTAATTTGTAAAACATGAATGCTACTTCATTGTTAATGCTGCATTCGAAGTTTTGGGGTAGGTCACAGTGTCACACCAGGGGGAGGAGCATTGGATGTGTATGGGCTCTTTTGAACTTCTTTCAAAATTCTCCAATTCAAAAACCTCATAAATAAGTTCACTCTGAAGCAATAATTTAACAATTAGTTGTATTATATAAATACATAAACATGTGTATAATTGTTGGAAGTAAGATATACAAGATGTAATTAGCCAATACAATGAGTGTTTAAGTGTTAACTATAATTTAAATAATATTACACTCAAATGTATTAGCACGCACATTTCAATCAAAACAGCCTAAATGTGTAACACCACACAAGTGAATTATTTTGTATAATAATTAATAAATATAATAAGTGAGTATTAAAACTAGTTTGATTAATATGAATTGACAACAAAAGTAAAATTTATTAATATGCTAATCAGAAAAGCCACAAAACATTTGTCCACAATAGAAATATGGTGAAGTAAATTGATTTATGCAATGTGAGAGCATAATGTTAATTAAGCTGTCATACACGAGCATAAGAAAATGAATATCCTTCGCCACTAAAACATTCTAAGTCCAAGCATTTAAGCAGATATTCAAGGAAATAAATCTAAGCTATAAACAAATATGTCAAATAGTGCACAATAGATTTTTAATATAGTTCAACACTCAACCATTCTACATCTAATACCCTTCTAGATTAGTGTTTCACTAAATCAATTTACTAGCACAAGCCCAACAACTTTCTCTTATGATTAAGTGCATAAACATTCACAACATACACACTTTCTTTAATAGGCGAGTACATCCGAACACCTAAACTTGGCAGGCTAGGCAACCCCAAACCAAATTCAAGGTAAAAAATATCAAACCAAAGGGAAGTAACACTTTAGTGGGGACTAAATGGCCAACGCCTATTAAATTTTACAATCAATCTCTAATATCTCAAGCCATGGCTTCATGAGTAAACAATGCATCCTATTTTATGATGCCAATTGATTTTGGAGTGCAAGGATAAAAACTTACTATTGAAACTGAACTTCTTATCTTTAGATGCGTAAAATATATTCTATTCCTCCCCTTAAATTCATGTGTTTACCCTACTGCACTTGTTATATATGCTAACTCAATAATTTTCTCATTCTGATATCATCAAAAGAGTTCACATTGAATTCAATGATTAGTTATATCAACAAAATAGTGACTAATCTCCCCTTAAATTTAATATTCCTAAAAAATAGCATGTAAAAGATAAAATAATTTAATGAAAGTATGTTTGACATAAGAATCTTATCACTAATATCAAAATAAGAAATTCAATTGTTGACCGTTAAAATCTTAAACCAATATTTTTTTAGATTAAATTCTAAATCAAGAAACCAATTGAAAAAAAAAAACATGTTAATCTTATCATGTAAATGTAATCATGATGCCTATTTAACAATTTATATCAAGTAAAAATTTATAGACAAAGCATGAATCAAAGTTTCTAACTTGAGCTAGACATACTACGAGCAACAACTATGTATAAATGTCAAACTGAATAACAAGAGCCAGTGATCGCCTAACACATCTCTAATTAGCCTGAATAAGATCTTATATCAATTATGATCACAAGCCATTGGAGAGGGCTCATGGGGTCAGCCCAAGTTACATAAGTTTGTTTACACTGAATGTGCATCAGATGGTCCTCAAAATTAAATAAAGCATCATTCATTAATTAAATCAAATATTTCTAATTAAATGAGAAACAAACAAAAAAATAGTATGCTTACATAATATAAAATATGCACAATTTAACTCGTATGCTACTTAAAATCAAAATTTGTTTATCATTAAATTTAATTGAATTTTCATTTTTCAGGAATAAAATTAGAAGTTTTTAAATAAGTGAGAACTAAAACAAGCAAAAACTAATAGGCATATATGAATATGAAATCAAGTGAGTAATTAAATATGCTACTAAGAATAAGAGCTTGCTTTGCAATTTGGAACTAAGTCAATGATAACGGATAACAACATTCCTTTTAGCATGAAGTTAACAATTACTAACTAAAAAAACATAATAATAATCAAAATATTTTCCAGAACATGAAATTTATCAAAATAAAAGTCTGATCATTATAATCTGGAGGTCATATGAATGATGGATAAGGCTGTGTAAATCCTTCCTTAGTGTCCATGTTGTTTGTGATACTCATTTATAAGGTGCATTTTTTTAGTTTTTTTTTAACGCATTTTTTAGCCTTTTATATATATATATATATATTGTATTTTTTTAGCTTGATAAAACATTGAAGAATCAACTTCTAAAAGTGGATTAAATCAATGGAGTTAATCAAGGAGTCTCATTGTCAAGGGAGATGTTACAGATTACCCTACGGATTTTATTGTGCTCTCTTCAGTGTATTATTTAAGGTGATTGTGAGAACTATTTCAACTGCTCTCTTATATAGAAAAGTAGGCTTACATGCACTGCCCCTTCTTTTGGAATATTTCAGGCATTCTAAGTCTGCCTTGAGTGATACCAAATCCTCTCTTTCCTTTTGTCTATTATATGTCAGTGCTTCATTGCTTCTTATCCTTCAATGTCATTAATAGCACCAATCTCAAGCATGCTTTAAGTGTGCTATTTAGACTGAGTGATATAAATTTATTTTTTATTAAACTTTTTGGACTACACATGAGCAGAACAAAAAGGATAAGCAAATGTTAATACAAATAAGCCATTTTGGATTATCCGAGGACTTTCTTTGTATTGTTGGCTTCCATAAGCCCTGTCTTAAAGGCTTTTTACCTGCTTGTTCATTTGCCCCTTTTTTAGTGAATTGCAATTCATCATTATCATCGGCCTCATCAAATCAAAATCAATAGTACAAGTAAATAGAAAATATTCCTTGCAATGACAATTGATAATAATTCATAGGCCCATTTTTTCAAAATTTTCCTAGACTTATTCATTCTCTTCTTTTATCCCTTACTGTAGAACTCAAATAGAATTTGAAATTCATCTCGTTGGCTTCCAATTTGAATAATTTTACGTACCATCCTTATTTTAAATTCAAACTACTTATTACCTTTTTAACTTGCAGTTGAAATTCAATATGTTAACTTGTATTTCTATGGTTCACTAAAGTGGGGCCTTCTGAATGAAGAATTTATTGGGAAGGTTTCAGATTATTGGATAAATAATTCATAGGATGTAATGGGACAAATTTCTAATTTAGAAGACCAAAATTTTTTAAACTGTTTCTTTTGTTTACATTGAGGGCATTTGGTAGGATGAAAAATTTTATGGGAGAGCATGTGCTATTTTTAAAATGTGCTTGTAAGTTATTGTTGAAATGTTTGCATGTAGGTTACATTGAAATTCTGCCAGCTAACTATTTTTTAACTTCATGTATGCTCCAATTTGTGTACCTTGTTGCTTATTACCTTTTCTGCCATTTTCAGGTTGTTTAAACAATTTGAAGAGCATGACTTTTCTAGGGCAGGCAGCATTGCAACTGAAAAGGTTTTATTTTATGATTAATTTAGTTTCAAATTGCTCTCTTTTTCATTGGGATTTGATTTAGCAACTTTTTGCAAGTCATGATCTACATAATCCATTCTATACTCCCGCTTTTAGATGTCACTAAGTGATATTCAAGACACTTTATAATTAATTAAACTTGACAAGACTAAATGTCTCCAAGAACCTTAAGAAACTAATTGACTTAGGCCAAATAATGAAATAAAGATTACCAAAAACTTTGAAAAGAAATAACTAGTTCAGGAACCCCACCTTTCCCATATAATTTTTCCAACTGGAATTGAATTTTTTGCCAAAAATTGGTTGGTCAATTTTCCTTTTTGTATTGTTCTAGTTGTCCTTCTAGTGTTCAAGCTTAAGGGAGAATGCCAAGGAAATGTCAACGAATGCACAACTTGATAGAACCTCTCCCTACACACTAGCTCCTTGCTTGAGAGCTTCATGATTGTGGTTGCAAGCTTCTGCCATCGACTTCCATATGGTTGTTGCCAATATTCAGAGGTTTGTCAGAGTTTCCAGTAGCCTGCAGTGAAATTCATGAAGAAAAGGTCGGTGGATCATTGCTTAAGAAAATAGGAAAACTAATAAAGAAAATAAGATGACAAAGAATCTAATGATAAATTTTTCTTGGCTTAAGAAGATTGCAGTCTTGAAGGGTTTCCTGCACTGTCGATCCTTCATAAGTCCCGTTGCATCAATTTTTTCTATTATCGTGCTTCTCTTCAATCGTGCTTTCTTCAATAAAAAAAAAAAAAAAAAAAACAACACTAGAGCAACTGTTATTTCCTTTCAATTTTTGTTGTTCTTCCATGTTATGGCTCTCTATCTACTAGCCACCCGAGAAAGACACTTTCCCTTCTAAACAAATGTAGATCTTCAAGAATCTTGCAATGAAGATGGAAAAAAGAAACAGGAACACCCAAACAATTGGATGTGGATTTCATATAGTTCTTGGTAAACATAGCAGCCCCTTCCATTATCACCAAGTGTTTTCTCGCTTGTTGAAATTGTTGCACAGCCCCTAGTTAGGCTGCAGATAATGATATTGGAGCTTTGATTTATCAATCGTGGCAGAGTTCAGGACTCCACTATAACTACCCTATAGAAAAATCTTAAAAATAATTTTTTTACAATGATGAAAATTTTGCAGGTAACACTTCTAAATTACAAAAAAATTTTCCCAAGTTGAAGAAGGGTCATCCTTGAAGCCTTGAACATTTTCTTGCTCATGCTAGGGTGAATTCTTGTGACGTTGAAGGTTGTAGATATGCTGTTATCCCTCAAGAACCAATCTTGGGAGTGCTAATATCTTGACCAGTAAACATTTTTTATTTAGCAGTTTACATTGACGTTTATTCATTCATCAAAGAGAACCTCCAATTTTGACCAGTAAACTCTTTTATTTAGCAGTTTACATTGACGTTTATGCATTCATTAGAAGAGAATCTCCAATTTAATTAATCTCATGAATTTGAAGATAAGACATAACATTCTGTGCTTGCTCAATTGTGTCAAGCCAAGTAAGTACAGTGTTGGGCTAAATATTGTGGTTCTTTACAAGTAAAACGTTTAACCATGTATGCAATCAACAATAAGAATGTTGTAGAAGCATGGAGAAGAATTATTCTGAGATACCCTTCACCTCTTCTAGAGCTAGTAATAATTCTAACCTACTTTGAACTTTGCACTTAATTTAAGCTTCGTTTGGGACGGCTTTCTTGCTGATTATTAAAGCAGTTTTTTAGTATAAAAATTAAAATTTTTGTACTAGAAAATTGCTTTAAGAAGTAATGAGAAAAGTCCCAAATGAAACTTTAATGAAAATTATGACAGCCGTGTTCTGCATGTAATTTCCATCTCGTTGTTAATTTCTAGTGTTGTGTATTTTTATTTGTTTCTTTCAGGTGGAACTGAAAGAGGGTCCTTTGGAGCATTTCAGTCATGAGATGGAACCATTTCTTAGAAAACTAGGTCTGCCAATTCGCTTGAACAAAGGTCTGAACTCTGAACTTTCAACATTTTTTTGTACCAATCTTCTTTCTGAGGTACAAGTTTTTCACTTATTGAAGTAGAAGCCCTCATAAATAATTAAATTGCAGGAGTTATAGAATTGGTTTCTGACTACATTGTTTGTGAAGAAGGGCAGCACTTATCTCCTGAATCTGCTCGTACATTGGTATGTCGATGGCCAAGATATCAATGGCTCTATGTTTAAGATTTTTGTTTTTATATCTTTATTTTGCTTCATGAAGCCAAGATTTAAAATGAGAAAGGGTAAAAAGATTTTTACTAAATTGAGAGAGTGCGAAGTTTCCATACCATTAATTGCTCTAAAAAGATTTATGGGCATAGCTTCTATGCCTTCTATGATTATAAAAAAGATTTGTCCCAAATTGAAGGGAGCAATGGTTGTACTCAACCCCCTCCCTAATTCTAATTTGGCCACTATTTAGAGCTAAGGGGCAGTGATGGAATCAAGAAGGGCTACATAATTATATAATTGTAAAGTTTTACATTTAAAATTTCCTTCAATTATGCATATTATAGAAGTTTTGCTTTCTCTAAACTTGAGAGAAGCTCTTTTGCCTTCTCTCACTTAAAATTATATTTCTGCATTTGATGAGGGTGCATGAATTTATCTATTCCTTAGTTTTTTTTATCCATCAATTTTTAAATTGCTCGCCCCTTACACTCTTACTCATGGAGCTATTTTAGGCTTCGTTTGAGACGGCTTTCTTATTGCTTATTTTTTACTAAAAAACTGCTATAAGAAGCAGTAAGAAAGCCGTCCCAAACGAAACTTTAGATGAAAATTTTGAGATTTTGTAGTTATTTCCTTTCTTGTTCTTTATCCATCAATGTTCAAATTGCTTGCCCACTACAATAACTATTTTAGATGACAATTGAAGCCATAGGTTTAATTTTTAATTTTCACCATGTTTGGGACATTGTATTTTCTTAGTTGAGCGCAATTGTCATCATAAAACACACACCACAATTACTGGACTTATTATTCTGTGCAGATGCCGAATGCCGTCCGGAGACCAATTAGAATGCGCCACGTTACTCCTTGCTCGGTACCGCGGCTCAGTACTGCTGACATGACGCATTCTAATTGGTCTCCAGACAGCGTTCTGCGTCCGGTCTCCGCACATAATAATTTTTCTTGAATCTAAAGGCATTTTTTTGTTTGCAGAGGTTGCTTGGGATCAAAATGGCTACTTTTCATCTCCATCTCATTTGCAGGTGGAGCTCTGATGATTTTGAAGTTTATAGAGAAGCATTGAAACTCTCTGACAATGAGTCTTCCTGAAATACACCATCAACAAAGCCAACTATACTTTGTTTAGCCTTCACTTAAGCCCCAGGGTGCAATTTTGTTTCTGTTATTCTGTTTGTAGAGGGAGTTGCAGGTTTTTTTAGAACTGAGTTGTGGCCATTTATGCATGAAATTTTAATCTTTTTTCTTGTAATGGGTTAGGAAATATTTATATCATTTACATTAATTAGTGACAGATAATGACATCATATATTTATGGTTTGATAACTTATTGAGATGTTTGGTTCTGGAATTACCATAATGTTGCAGCAAGTCTCTAAAGGCAGGTATTTTTTAAAGGATGATTGCCTTGCTTGTAACATTTGATTAATTTTTATCACATTTACATTAAGGTTTTATTTGTGACGGATTTCTTACTACTTAAAGCAGTTTTTTATATAAAAAGTAAAATTTTTATATTAGAAAGCTATTTTAAGTTATAAGAAAGTTGTTTTAAATGAAGCTTAAGATTTTGTTTGGGATGTCTTTCTTACTTCTGCTTAAAGCAATTTTTTAGTACAAAAATTTTAATTTTTATACTAATAAGCTGCTTTAAAAAGCAATAAGAAGCCGTCCCAAACAAAGCCTAAATTTATATTTTGGTACATATATATGCATATATAATGAATTTGGATTCTGAACTGCTTAACCATTTAAGTTTCAGTCAAATTTGTAAGGTTGAAAGGCAAGATTAAAAATTCCATGCATCTCTGTGACACCATCTGCTACGTTTTGTAATATCCAAGTAAATTCAGTAGACATCAGTTTGCTTAGCTGCATAGTTTTTAAAATTTTGAGATTGAATATATTTTACTTCAATTAAATTTGAGCTGCTTTTTTTTTTTTTAATAAGCTAAGATAATTAATGTAACATGTGATTATGTGATAGATTTGGAAAAAGTTTATTATCAACCTTTATGAATATTGGCTTTGAGCCTTTGATAAAAAATTTAAATTTAGAAGGCTCAATTTGTTTCACCTGCATATTATTGATAAATAAATTTCTATATTAGATTGAGATTAGGATTTTTTTTTTTGAACGGGGATATCGGCCTGCTGCTATGTCAGCTTTTGAAGCACTTGGCGATGTCCACTAATCTCTCGGCGAGTTTACCAGTAACCAACCCCACAGGTGCAGGGCACAGTTCTTTTCTCTCCACTTACGGAGTCGTGCCGTATGAGAGGAAATTTAAACTTGGGATGGGGGGTTCCCAACCAAGCACGCCCACCAACCCACCTAAGCCCGGTGGGGTATTAGGATTTAATTTTAAGATTAAGTTTAAAATTAATTTAATAAAAATTTAGAAAAAATTTATTTTCAAATTTTTGTAGAGCTGGGGTTAATAATAATATGACTCAGAATAATATCTCTAACGTATTAATTTACTACAAAATTATATCTATCCTCATATATATGTACATCGAGCAGATCGAAAAATTTTTGATTGCAGACTAATATATTTAATAAAATAAAAAAATTAGGAGCATATTTTAAATAAAATATTCATTTACTAGTAATATTTATTTATTTTGTTATATGATTTGCAAAAAATTGACGACATTCTCAGATTACAATTATTAGCTAATATAGTTCGTAAGAACATCTCCAATGGAACGGCTTGTCGTTCCAACAGAGTGATAATTCTTACATCATTTTATCGTGGATGAACAGTGCGACGCCAATATTAACGTTGCACTGTTCATCTTCATCATTTTTTGATCTCTACTGAACTTGCCGAAGAAACGCGCGAAAGAAGATAATGACTATTACAGAAAAAAAAATGACGTTCGATTGGAGATAAATTATGGCATTTTTTAGTTTCACGACATTTTGAAGTGAAAAATGAGATTTTCGGTTAGAGATGCCCCAACGCTTCAAAATTTAAACTAGATTATATACCCTTTTGCAAGAAAAGGGTTTTCTAGCTTGACAAAAAGTCCTCAGTAATTCTTTCATTAAAGACATTTTAAAATTTTCACATATAATTTCATTAACCTTAAATTTTCATAAAACAAAATGAATTTAGCAGACCCTTAACTTACTGTAAGCTGGAATGAAGCTGTCCAAGTCACAAAGGCTAATGGATTTTTTTTTTTTTTTTCTTTTTTTTTAAGGCTAATGGATCATAAGTGCAGATAATTATCAATTTAGGCTTCATTTGTAACAGCTTTTTCATTCTTTTGCTTTTCAAGCTGCAACTAAAATTTTAATTTGATCATTACTTTTTCAATAATTTCAAAAAAATTTTATACTAAAAAGTTGCTTTCTATAGCAGCTTTCACAATAGCTTTACAATCATTTTTATAAAAAGCTACAATCATCCTAAATGAATCCTTAGACAACAACACATCATAAGATGCACAATCAAAAACTGAAAAAGAGAGCTAACTTCTCTGTAACATACTGAAATATTCAGTCATGTTATGATAAAATTGTTTAAGGATAACTAATAGTTCGATAAGGCCAACATAATATACAAGTAGCACTGGGGGCTCTCAAAAGGATAGGTTACTCTATACGAAAACTTAGAAAGAAAGGCTGGTAGCATTCATGTCACTGATACGAAAAATTATTAGGTGCGGCGTCCGGACGCGCCACGTCATTCAATACACGGTGTATTGGATGATATGATGAGTCCGGATTGACTTCCGGACGCGTTCGGACGCCGCACAGAATAATCTCTCTACTGATATGCTTTGTTTGTTCTACTCGAACTTTTCCCATTCATTATTTATTTGGGTAAATGGATTAGCTGCGGGTGGAGTTAGGCTCCCCATACCTGAGTCGAATGTCTGCCATTGTTTGGTAACTGTGGTTCCATTGCTGCTGTTGCTTAAGGGATTTGGATTTCGGGCTGCCACTTTTAGCGCATCAAGCAACTCCACGTAATGCTGTATGCGGCGAACCTGATGACAATTTGTAATGCATAAAAATGAGTCGGCACGAATTTTACAGTCCAGAGGAAAATTAAATCACATTTGAATATATTATAGATCTTCACTCTGAAATGTACCATAAAATAAGAAAATGTTAAGATATTTATATTAAATATAATAAAATTTTGACAGATTAACTTTTTAAAATTATTATAATTAAAATTAGATCAGTATATCCTAATTACAAGACAGGGCACGAATATGTGACATGACAATTATTGAAAATATAGGACAAACAGGTATGGCACGGTATTGTAATTTTTATATCATAAAAATAGTGCGTGAAAATTAAATAAGCTGAATATTAAAAATAATAAAGAAATTTTAAGTCATTTAACTAAAATTTGTGCTTTAAATGATTAAGATTAAGATGTTGAGAGCCAGAAGTCAAGAGAGGAGACGACAACACTATCGATAGTGGTGGTTGATATCGTTCATTGGGCATTGCGGTCAAGATGTCGCTAGGCGTCAATGTTGAGATGACATTGGACAAATATAAGATTTCGAGATGGTATAGGGGTGTAATTGTGGGGATAGATATTAAAGGCGTAGGGTGTCAATGTTAAGATTATGTTGCACATAAATATTGAGATGGTGTTGATTATCAATGTTGAGATGGCATCAAACATGCATCATGTTGAGATGACATTGCGCATTGAGTATTTTCATCATGTCTAACACATGTTAGTGTTGTGTCAGATTCATGTCTGCATCCAACACGGGTCGAACATTACATACCTCCTTAAAAAAGTGTCGATGTATCATAAATAACAACTTTATTGAGCATAAATGCACACTCTACGATTTTTGTACTCTCAATGTTATTGAAAGGCTGGTGGTGATGACATTAGATGTGTTATGACCAACTTCAATAGAACACCGCAGTGAAAAACCGTTCAGAACACTACAGTGAAAAATCGTTGTGCATGCAACTCATTTTGGTTTGTTAGTTGGGAGCTTTGGCTATCAACCAAGAGGTCTTTAGTTCGAGTCTCACGTATGTGATGTGTGTGAGTTTGTCTTAATTGACCTAAATATCAACACCATGGACAAAATGCCATGGACTTTCATACAAGATGCCATGGACAAAAAAAAAAGTCAACACCAAGCCGCCCCTCAAGCTAATTGGTTGTAAATACTATAGGAGTTGGAGAGTATTCAGAGTTGCAGTGTGGCTCTTGCTACCTGCAGGGCAATAATGCTTAAGAGAGGTAGCTACAACACAAGTCTTGAGAGTGAGTTGTAATGTAAGCCTTCGATGTATTAGATATGGATCTTTAATTCCCCCTATAATTTGACTTCAAAGTCAAGATACAATATCCTTAAGTCTTTGATAAAATTTGGAAGAGAAAGAGATTTTGATACAACTTAAGAGTATGCATTTGATTGATTTGGATTATTTGATTTACTAATTAGCAAAACGAATTGTTTTGGGTTGTAAATTTAAAAAATTAAACCAACCAAATTATTTTTCAAACAAAAATAAATTGAACGGAACTTTAGTTAGAATAGTTAAATTTGGCTTTAAATGAATCAAAATGTATTTAACTTCAGAAATGAGCATGACTATCTTTAATTTAAATAACGTATATTATGAAGAATACTAAGTAATCTGGTTAAATTTATAGTTTGGAAAGTGGAATAAATAGTATCTACATTGATCTTTGTCAATTGTTTATTTATATGACTTTATTGATTAAATATTTGAAAATAATATAATTCATTTTTTGGTTTGATCGGTTTTAGAAAAGCAAAATCTGAAAAAATAAAAAAATGTCAAAATTTAAAACCAATAACTAAATTTTCAGATTTATCAAACAAATGCACACCCCTAGCACAAATATTATTCAAAACTAGAGCAAAAAAATTTGCTAAAACAAGTTAATCAAATTCACACCTAAGCTAAATCACACTAACCACCACATCTCCATCTATAATACCATATTACCATATTGAAACTATTGCTAATGTAACTGATCTAGGGTTAAGAAGTGCCTCTTTCAGTTCAAGAGGAGATGATTGATGACAATCATCACAGGAGGCCAGTTGCGTGTGAGCAGGCAAACAAAGCTGGAGATTGGTGGGGAAAATGGAAGGAAGCTTCCCTGCATGATTTGAAGTGGTCAATGACAAAACTGAGTTCTTAATGGAGGCAGGCAGGCATCAAAGTGGTGCCAGAAGGAGATCAAGGACAGAGAAGTTTAGTGGCATGGTTGGAGAGCTACTGATGGTTTGTGGTAGTGGCCAACGATTGGAGCTAGATGCAATGTCAATGGAGAGGAGTTCATGGTTAGAGTTGTCTTCATGGACATAGAAGTTTAGTGGCATGGATGGAGAGCTACTGATGATTTGTAATAGTGGCCAATGATTGGAGCTAGAGGCAATGTCAATTGAGAGAAGTTCATGGCTAGAGTTGGCTTCATTCAATGGATGACTAGATGTAAGTGCAAAAAAATGAAGTGGAAGAAGGGCCTTGATCAATATATATATATATATATATATACTTAAATATATATATATATATATATATAACTTAAATGTATTATATAGTATATATTAAAATATTATTATTGTTTTGGATTTTGGAGTCATTAGACAAAATGAAAATTATAAGTACCAGGCTTATCAGGTATTTACAACCACCTCTAAATCGTGTTTAGTACCTCTAATTGGGGTATTACATGGTAGAAATAGCTCATAGAGATGGTATGTTGTGCCTCCAATTAGAGTAAGTCTAGGGCTCGCCTCCAATTGGATTAACCCATTTAATGTCTTCAGCAATAAGCCATGATGAATTGGTTGTGGAAGGAGCCAAAAACTTGCCTTTTAAAGGAGACATACCTGGTCCTTAATCTCTTATATGTGATAAAATTTAAGCCGAGTGAGCCCAACCTTGTAGGCTTGGGCCAAGATAGGTCCAAAACTTTTCCTAAGCTATTTTAAATAGTTTAGATAGGCCAAATCATGACATTGAAATAAATTTTAATTCCTAACTAAATAAAAGTCATCACGAGATCATTTTAGAGCTTTAAAATAGCATTTAGGTCATCCTTTATGTAGATCCACGTAAAGAAAGCTGGTTGAAATCATTTATCAACACCATTTGGGCTTTCAAAATTATCAAATCATTGCAAGACTTTTTTTATTAGCTCAAAATTTGGTGAATTGCCATATAGAAAAAGGGGTTAATTTAAGGCCACTCAACCCACAATTCCAAGAGGAACATCCTAGATAGATAGTAGTTGTGGTTGAGTGGTTCACATTGGACACTATTTCAATCTCCCCGAATCTTGCAAATATGATACATTATAATTCTTATTTGAAAAAGGAAGTATTTGAACTTTTTATAAAATATCAAAAAATTATGTTTCAATTGATGTGTTCTTCAAAACTAACACCTATGGATTAATCTTGCTTGTATGATCAAGAATGTTGAGATTCATGCTCCAACAAACTCCATGCCACGATGGTTTCTTTAGCCCTAACACAATCAAATTTCATGCCAACCTTTTAATAGAGCTTAATATCACCTTTTAATAGAGCTTATTATCAAATAGTAGGGCATTGTCACCATTTTCTGGCAACCCAAAATTAAAGGCGATGAATTTTGTAAAAATCCTTGCCAATCCGACAATCAAAAGTTCAACCTATCACCCACCTATGAGCTCATAGCAATGAAATTTATGATATCGTTTATTCATAATTGAGATTGGAGATACTAGTGCGATAATCTCCACTAGACCATTACTAGCCACTAGAATTAGCCTTAGTTTAGGAGTATGCCGGTCAAGTCAGCCAAAGGGTAAATATCATGATGATCTACGCCATTTATTATTAATAACTATGTGAATATTTCGGACAAATATTAAGAAGGCCTTCATAAAAATTATAAATGACCATCATTCAATTATCTTAGGGTAATTTTTTAGTATTAGAAGGTTGTATGGATTCTATGTTAAAGCCTCCGAGCAGCCCCCACTTGCAATGCAACAAGACTTGCACTACAATAAGATTTGTGTTGCAACAAGTTTTGCAGCACAACATGACTTGCACAATAGTGATCGAACAAAAGATGTGTCATAGTTGTACCATATAGGGCTTACATTGCAGTCATTACTTGCAAGACCAGCATCACAATAGTCACCTGCAAGACCTATGTCATAACATCTACATTAAGACTACACTATAACTGTTCCTCGTAAGGAAGAGTGTGCATTTGGTTGTTTTTGATGGTTCAGTTAGTTTAGTTGACGACTTAGCTAAACCAAATGGTTTTAAAACTCATAAAACAAAACCAAACAAACTATTTTTTTTAAACTAAATTAAACAAAACCAATCTTTAGTTTGATCAATTTGGTTTAATTTTAGATGAACCAAAAATCAATTAATTTAAACAATAAACCTAAGTATCTTTAACTTAACTAATATGTATCAAGAAGAATAAAATAATAATAATAAATAAATATAAATAAAAAAATATATACATCAAGAAGAATACGGAATACCAATTAATCTTTGCAAAATTTTAGAAATTTAGCATGTGAAATAAATAATATTCAAATTGATCTTTCTATACTTCTTCTATAGTTTAAAATTGCGCAATCCAAGGCGCGCCTTTGCGCAATTTGCTCCAAAATAGCCTCAAAGCCTAGGCAATTCTCAGGCATCATGAGGCGTATGCCTCAGGTGGAGTGAGGCGCGCCTCACTAGAGTTATTGCGCAATTTCCTTTGAGGCGTACGCCTCTAATATGGGGGCCCACTTACTTAAAAACCTCTTAAATTCTTCCTTATACCCACTTACCCGACTGAAGACCCACTTACCTGACCGAAGACGTCAACCAAAGCCGCGCAGGAAGCATGCAGATGCCCAATCCGGCTCTCCTGCATGTTTCCGCCGCCTCTCCCACCGGCGTCGCCTCTCGCCGGTGAGTCCTTTGTTTCCGGCCGCCCTCTACATCACTTCTTCAAGTGTTCTTAGGATTTTTTTTTTTTTTAAGTTTAGGGTTTGATTTTTCAACTTATAGGAAAGCTAGGGTCATAGTTCTTGATACTGCTATGTACATGCTCGTTACCGCTAGGTACATGCTCGGTACCGTTAGGTATCTTTCCATACAAAGTACTTACGAATTTTCCATACATGCTCGGTACCACTAGGTCGAACCCCGCCAGGGGGCAGCGCCCCCTTGGACCCCCGGCAGCCCAGCATATTATTGTATTCATCATCTTTAGTAATAGTTGTTAGTGTTAGTCTACTACTTCATGAGTGCATGCTTTGATTGGGAGACATTGGACTCTATAGGAGAGGAGGAAGGGGTGAGGACTTTAAATGTGAATTCTTGTCTCTTGGACAATATTATTTCATATTCATGTTTATTATTTTTATGTTTTTGTATTTTATTTTGCATTTGTGTTTTAGGAAACATGGTTATGGGGCAAGGAAAAGACAAATACGTCATTGCGACGTGACCCTTTTCGAAAATACAGTGTGCAATTTGATATAAGAGGCGGCGAGAAGACGTGTATTTAAAATATAATTTTTGTGATAATGTGGTGAAGGGAGGAGTAACTTGCATGAAGGAACACTTATCCGGCTCATATAAGAATGTAGCACATTGTGCGAATGTTCCGAATAAGGTGAAGGAGGAAATTACAGCTTCTTTGAAAAAGAGTACCATATTCAGACAGATTTGTCATTATTAGACCTGTAACTAGAAGATCTAAGTGTGGACGTCTTGAGGGGCGAAGTAGATCAAGTGGGCACATCCACTAGTTCTGCAGCACAACAAGCAACTAAAGGTATTCCATAACTTCTTAGATGCATATTACGATTATACTATAATATAATTATATATATATTATATATAATATATTATACATATCAAGTGGCAATTAACATGACAATAATCATCTCTTATTGAATAGGAAGAAAAAAGTGAGTAACATTGGAAGATGATGGAAGATATAACATTCCTATATATAATTGAAGAAGAAGATTTCCTTGAAAGATCCTTTAGTGAATGGGAATGATTTTTTAATATTTCTTTCTTATCTGTACTCTTTGGGAGTGTTTGATAGACTTTATTATGTGGTTCTGTACTTTGGGACAAGATTTTATTGCAACTATTTCCTTACTTTCCACTTAAATTATCAACTTGTCATTTAATATTTTTATTATATGATAAAAATTTACTATTATTTAACTGCATAAACCCTTAAATTCTCATTTATAGCAACCTCGCCGTGAGGCTTACGGCCTCACACCGCCCGAGGCTTACGCTCGCCTAACGGATGAAAATACCTCGAGGCTTATTTAGCCAATTGTTTAACCTTGACCATTCTTCATCTGTGTTTGTGGTTTATTGAATCCTTAAACAATGCTGTGGCATGAGTGCAGACGTAGGAGTTGGTTGAATACACAAAAATCATTCTCTCTTTCCTCTATAGAAAAATTTACATGTATTTGTTTATTTCACTTAGTATAGTTTACATATACTTCACATTTATTCAATTTATATGCTTATATGACTTAAATATGTTAATGAATGTGATCACTTGCCTAAGTCTAAAGTTTATATTTAGATTAGCTTTTAGATTATCACACACATTCTTAGCATTATGTGTTCCATCATTATCACAAATTATGCACATATACTTATATATTTGTTTTGCATTATTATAATCTCTCTCACACATTGTACATCTCCTATCTCACAATTAAATATCTTGTAAACAATTGTTGTGAGTGATTAATTGAATGATAATCATAACTAATTTGATTAATATTAAATATATTCATGATTACTTAATCACATTACTCATAAATAGCTTATCTTTTATTAACACTGTAGTTTCTTGTGCACTGTAGGTTGCATATTACGCATATAAGTTTATTATGATAGTATTGTCGAGTGAGGTCTTCATCATTCTCCTTAGAGCTTGATAAATCACTTGGTAAGTATTAATTGCTTGATCACCCATATACACAACATTATCTAGTTAGTGTAATGTTTGATCATTTTGATTTGCTTTTCAAATTCCCACTATGCTCAATCCCCACCCCCCCCCCCCCCCCCCCCCCCACAAACAAAAAAAAACCTCAACATGTGCCTTTGATCCCTCAACTAGAATAATACATGTAAGTATCAAATTTCTTTTCATACTTATCCTCCTGCATGTAGTTGAATCATTAGACCTGAATAATCTATGGTTCTCCATTAGTACAAAGTACAAACAATATCCATCCTTCGTACTCTTTGCTATAAAATGCTGAATCAAATTGTAGGATAGGATGCAAAAGTATCATTAGAATTATTATATATAATATATAAATATATATATATATATATATAAATATATAATATATATATATATATACTTTCTAAATAAAGATTGATTAAAAAAAAGAATTCCTTTTGGAGCTTGTTGGATATGGAAACTTTGGAAAGGCACCTTGAAACTAGAATTACGAGGTAGAAGATAAAGCTAGATCCAATCATGATTTAAATAGAGAGAATAATAGGATCAGACAGAATAAATAATCATGCAATTGAATGGCATAGCAAAGTATCAATCAAGAATATTTAGAGGATAGAATTAGTAAGCGGGTGTATTATGAAGAAAGGAATATAAAGGAAAGTAACTTATGAGCCTATATTCAGCCGTTTCAAATATGAGCATCATTATAGTTCATTCATAAAAAAAAGTCACCTGTCGTCCTTGTTTGCTTCATTTCATATTGTTTTCGTTATGAAAGCCCAAGTCATCATAATACTCACAACACATGCTAACAACGAATATATGCAATCATATAAATAAAAGTATTCTAATCCACTATTTTGACATTTAAGCGATCCATTTTCTGAACCAAAATGTAGATTCATTTTGAAAAAAAAAATGTTGTTATCTAATAGCTGCAGGATATAAAAATATTACTTACTCAATACATGTGATATTATTTAATAATATCAGGATCCACAATTTTAAGAAATAAAATGAAATTGGTTTTTTCCTACAATAAAAATAGCATACCTCACTTCTCCTTTGCACTCTGGCTTCACCCTCTGCCTCAATGCTGTCCAATTTGAGCAACTGCCTCATAAGTAACTCGGTTAAAACCACAAACTCTTGGTCTGGTACCTTTGTACCCCTGCGCAAAGAAGATTCCAAGGCATTAACCTGCACCAAAAGGAAAAAAAAAAAATCACATTAAATAAAATTACAAGTGATATGTAATAGCTCTTCTTTTAAAAATCAACAGAAGGTGTACACCTTCTCAATAAGCTTGTCCACTTCATCCCTTACAACTGCAACAGCTTCACATGCCTTAGCAATTCCTTGATTCCGTTGCATCTGTTCAATCTTCCTCTCCCTGCTTGCAGGATCCTCCAATAGAACCACCTTCGACATGTCCTTAACTCCAGCCATGTGCAAGTACTCATGATCTTCCTTCTCCTTCCCCCGGAAAAGTAGCCTCTGCTCTTCAGGTGCGAGACCAGTCACTTGACCAAGAACTCTCTTCAGTTCCCCTTTAGATCACACAAATCGCACTAATTAACTTCTAGTTAATCCATTCACAAGGCAAAAAAACACATTCCATCACACAAAATCAAGCATGTATCTACAAAGAAAACATAAAATAACAAAGAAATGGAAACATAAACAAACCATGCCCGCCACACAATTTTCAGCCCAAATACATACTAACAAGAAAGGAAAACCTAATTTCTCAATTATAAAATCAGATTAAGAAGTTGGCCAACGAAAAGGAAAACCTAAAGTCTTCAAAGTCCAAAGACAGTTTATATTATATACCGTCTTTTGGCCATTTTTAACAACCTCAATCGAATCGCCCGATACACGCGATTCACAATGAAACCGTAATCAAAACACAACAACTCGCTTGGTTGACTTGAAGAACGACAAGGCCTGAGGCTTCGAGAGAAATGAGAAATTACCGAAAGTGGATTGGGCCGGGACGGTAACGTCATGCTGATACGAGTCATGATAGACCTTAATCCTGATCAATGGAACCGCAGAGTCAAACTCATCTTCCCTCTTCTGCACCAGCATCCCTCCGGGCCTCAGCTCCCAGTCCGCAGCCTCGCCGTTCCCGTTCTCCGACGCCCGTGGCTTCGAGTTCGATCCCCTCATCCTCAAACGAAGCCAAAGAAGAAATATGAGCCAGAGAAGATTGCGGTGGTTGAGCGATGGAGAAAGGCTGCCTTCCTCGATTCCTTCTATCAGAATTCACGGAAGAGAAAACTCGGGAAAAAGGAAGAGATACGGAGAAAAAGCTCTTAAATGGACGATTTGCTGTGCCAAAGAACTCGCTTGGCGGTTGCCATTGGGCAGTAGTTGACGGAGGGCTATCTAGTAGCTTCGACTTTGGTTTGGTTGGAATTTGGAGGTGCCGGTGGCCGGTGCCTTTTATTTATAGGCCTCCGACATTTATTAAGTTGCTTGGCCAACGAAATATTTTATATTGCACGTTAATAAAAAAATTAAACTAAAAAATGATATAATTAAATATAAAATTAAGTCGTTACATTGTATATAAATAATATTAAATAATATATAAATATTTCATGCAATATTTACATATTTATAAATAATTTATATATAATCAATAGGCATATAACTTATATTATTTTTTAAATATAATGGTTAAAATTAGATGAAAAATAAGAAACAAGTTTATGTATAATATTGATATATATAATGGAGCCACACTCAGACAATCAAAATCATATTATATTGTTCATGTTAAGAATTAAAAAAAATAGGGCGTTGTTAGCCTTAATTCTTAGGAGGGCAAAATTATAAAAAGATAAAATATATATTTATAACAAAATTCAAGCATATCTTCCATGGCAGTTTTTAAGGCAATTGCATTAGTCGATGCGACATGTTTAATGCCTAAAAACCTTTCAACAACTTGACATAAACTATCCATATATCTCACTGCAACAACCAGTTGTTCATTTGTTGAAATATCACGAGACTCATCAACCAAAATGGCATAGTAGGAGTCACCAATATCTTTCATGATTGATATCAAAGTTTCTGCAGCTCCAGCTGAACAAATTTCTTCTTGGACCTTCGGTGAAGATAACTTCAAATATGAGCTTGAATAATGTGCGGATAAAATGTTCTTAATTTCATCATTATGATTATCAAGAAAATGAAATAGCTCCAAATAATTTCCTCGATTCTCAAATCTGGATGACTCATCATTCCCATGAAATGATAACTCTTGGTCTGATAGAAACCGAACACAATCTACTACACCAGTCAACAAAACCCTATAATCTTTTTTATTTCTCTCGTCTTTGCTCAATCATAGAACATGAAGACTTTTTTCTTGAGTTTTCATCATATATTCGCATTTATGTCTTACCTTATTATGCGCACGTAATTTAACAGTTTTTCCTTCTCCTTCCAAGTTAGTTATGTACATGAAAGAGAGTTAGTCTTTGAACACTCTCACATCATAGCTCCTACACCATCTATATTCATCATTCATTAAGATGTTAGCTTCCCATGTTTGATGCATAGCTAAATATTACAGATATTTTATTTTATGGTATAAATATTCATAACAAGATCAAACATAACATAGGTTTCAACATTAACAACAAGAGATGTACTGACTGAAAATAAGAACAAAATATAAAATTGAAATGAAACATCCTAAATGACTTTATAAAACTTGTATTGCAGCAAAGTCCATTATTGATCTCTATTTGAGTTCCAAATTTTGGCAGCAGAACAAGAAGCCAATAAATATGGAATTAAAAAAAAAAAAAAAAGTTTAGGAGAGAGAAAGTAAGAGAGAGAAATAAACTAAAGAGAATAAGTTGAATGTTGACATAGAGAAATAAAATAGGAGAGATAAATAAAAAAATTCAAAACTTCTTTTTTTAGTGTTGTGTTGGAGAGGAGGTACATCAGAATTTTTTTTTATTTTTATTAAAATCTTAAATTTCAAATAATTTTTTTTATTTTTAATAAATAATTTACAAAAAAAAATTATGTGTTTTTATTCATAATGTATTATTATTATTTTAAATTTATCTTGTTTTGAAGAAAATTATATTTTAAATAAATATTTATCTTTTTTAAAAATAAAATTTTACTAAAAATTACGTTATATTTGAGTTAAATTGTAAAGCTGAAATTTAATTTTCTTTATAATCATTGTGGTAAACAATCACTTTGCATTCACATCACTTTTGGACGTTGGCCCTCAAGCAACTTCTTCAACATTTCGTCCATGATGGGGTGGAAAATTTCCCATAGATTTTCTCATGGAAAGGCGTGAACAATTTGACTTTTGAAATCTAAAATTAAGTTTGGAGATCCGAAAATTTCAGATTTCAAAATTCCGATTCTCCCGTTCCAACACTTCTACCTTTCTTCCGGCCATCTGGTACCTGAATCTAGGCTCCAAACAACAAAAACGTCTAAAAAATAGCGGATTTCTGGTTTGTTTCAAACAACAAAAAATTATCAATACGAAGGCGGCCAAAACGCCAACATAAATCAGCAATGAATCTTTTTTTTCCCGCAAAGACAAAGCTTTTTAAACCAATTTGATATGGAAGGTCCTCGTAGAAACTATGCTATTCCTTTGCTGACATTTAATTTCGAAGCAGCCCAAAACAATCCCCCAAGAAGAACTTAAGAAGGAATAATCAAAGAAAACCCCTTTTAAAAATTGATGCATGTTGAAGAAAACAAATAAGATACAATGGATCTTCATTGGAGAGAGGAAGATCCGACTCTCCCAAATCTCTAGCTGGCCTTAAGAACAATCTAGTTTTAGCAAAATACACATAACCCTATCCTAGGGGAAACAACCTACTCTAAAACAAACAATATGTAAATCCCAAAACAGCCTTTCCTTGAATTTTCCCTCCTAATCCAGCCTTAATTGCTCCTTCCAAATGCTTGCTGAACCCCACCCAAAGGGGGCGGGAGTTCTGAGGCAGAATGGGTCCGCCTCCATTATAAAATTAAGGGGTGTAGTCCCTCCAGACCGATTCTAACAACATTGTAATGCAAACACAATACATTCCTTTGGCATAAAGCTTTTATAAAATTTTAGGATGACTAATTTCCAATATGGCATTCATTTATGGATGGTTTATGGTTACAGTATTTTATTTTTGTTGTTCTGCGGCCTGTTTCATTGATGACTACAAATTGTTATTCTCTTACTCTCTTATGGCAGATTTTATTTATGTTTATGGCATTTGTTGCCCAACATTTGTGCTTTGTTCCTTTTTCCTTGCGTTAGCTTCAATTTATAAGCACAAAGATTTCAATAGCGATTACGTTATTGTGTGCTGAATAATCTCACATAAATCAGACTTTTTAATGCAATTAAGATTTGAAGTGGATACAAATCTATTTAATTAATGGAATAAATTAAAAATTAAGTTTTGTTTGGGAAAATATGAGCGTAATGGATCACAACTTTTTAAATTTGCTTCATATTCATGTTTTTAAACTTTGGTTTGTTGCCTCTTGTAGAAACTTTGTAATTGTTAATACTGCACTTGCTTTCTCATTTTAGCCTGATTTGACTTCATGGAGAAGGGGAAAGATATCACTAAAGGCATCCACATACTAAGGAGGAAGCTCCAGAACAGGTATGTATTTCAGTTTGTACAGCAGTTTTTTTATATATCATTCAAATTCTTCTTTCCATCATCTTTTTTTTATTGTTAATCTAGTTGATTTTTTTATGATCGCATTTGTGAGCTGTGAGGACGCACTTTGCCTACTATTCAGTGGAAAAAAAATAACAATTCCCTGATGTATTTAATTCTCATTATGTATACTTTTAACATTTTTTTGATATTAACAGGCTTTCTAATCGGAAAAACCTGCTCCGTAAGCTAGAGGAAGGGTGTTATGGATGCCAATGAACTTCAACAGAGGTAGGCTTTCCTAATGTGCTTGATCATTGACTTCATCCGCTTATTTTGAGATGAACATGTTTTACTAAATTTAAATTACTCTAGACTTTATATCTTCTTATCAATTGTTCTCAGTGCGGCAATATTTTTTTTACACCATTTGTAACTCTTCTTCCAATGGTTATTTGCAATCTTACACTTTTCTCTTTTCTGACTTCAGGAATTTAGAGCGTTGGCAATGGATATGTCTTTGTACTTGGATGGCATATATGACAGAATATATGTAAAAAAAAAATTTTCATCATAATAAAGTTCTGCTGTACTGATTTATATCAATTTATTGTGAAAATGATAGAAATTTCATTGGCACATTTCACTTACAATAGTTGACTAATTTATCTTTCCTAGTCATTTATTGGTTCTACACGGTTGGAAAGCATATTTCCAAATTTGCTCAAGATTTGTATCATCTTCATAATTTTCTCCATCACGGCTTTTCAATTCTATCATAGGAACTCTTGCTTAATTACTATGGAACATTTCATTTCTTGAGATATTTTTTTACCAAATTCCAAACTTCTTGGGAGGATAAATAAATGAGAGGCACTCCAACGATTAGGAATTTATTAGAAAATGCTGTACATGGTTTCCCCTTTTCATGTGTGCTCTGGTCTCCTGACATTGGAAAAATATTGACCTATTATGGACTTCTTTCAGAAAAATCCGTGCTTTGTATGTTGTTCGTATTGCTTTTCTTCAAAACTCTGTGTGGTTGCTTATACCTTGAGTTTTTTATTCTCCCTTTCAACTTCCTCTGAGAAGATGTGACTACTTATTGCCTAAAACAGAGTACTTCATATTTTGCTTCAACATCTGCCTCTATCCAACCGCCACAACTCCTTTCGAGCTATTTCCACAAATCCCCGCAAATGAAAATAAAAAGTGCCACCTGATCTATTTTCAGGGAACTTCACGGATATCCGCACCTGGATTTCTATGTTAAAGTCGTTTTCGCTGTATTTGTCTTGATTGAGAGGTATAAGATTGTGTGTACATCATCAGATGATATAGAGATATATTCTTCTTGTGTTATACATTTTCACGGTCAGAGTTAAGATATGATTATTCATGATTTATACCTTCATTTCCTTCTCAGAAAACTTCAAATGTTTTCACTCCTGGTTTCCCATACCCTTTCTGAAATATGCACTTTGGCCCTTTTAATTCATGAAAAAGGTAGTCTTTTTCTTGGAAATTGACATCATTTTTCTAGATCTACTAAACAAAAGAGCTATTTTAGCTGATTTATATTGGGAATGAGATTATGCTATTGTTTCACGATAATATAGTTATTTTTTTTATTTATGGTAACATTGTTGCTTTGGCCAAGACAGTCTTTGCTGGGGTCTACGTGCTTTCTGAAGCAGAATTGGACAAATTTCGCAGACATGCTGCCTCTGGCTTTCATTAAACGGAACATTAACAACGATGTA